TGTATCTGTAAGCTGTTGTTCATAGACTGTAGGCTACATAACCATAACCCAGCGTGGAACGATGTATGTTGGGAATAGCAAGAAGCGATAGGAAAAGGAATGAATCGCTAAGAACACAAACAATAGTCTACGAATTCGTTGCCTTTGTGAGAATTTAAAGTGACAGTGAGTAGGGCAGGATACATTGCAAAGACGCCACGCCATCGCTGAACCGAGAAACAGTAAACGGTCCTTAGTAAGACTTCGAATTCGATGTTAGGATCACGATGGATAAAAATGGTAGAAAATATGTCTACGGCTAAGTCTTGAAGAGGCCTTCATCGAGCTATGAATCGAAAAAGGTTGATGATAGTGATTTTAGCTACATGTTTCTGAAAGCTTAACAAAGATTGATAGGAAAATCATCAGAATGAAAATTTTTTCGCATCGCAGAAGCCAAAAGATAATAAAAGGACAATCCTCGCATACTCGCACAGTAAAATGGGATAAACGTTTTACGAATAAGCAGTTGAATAGCCATGAAGTATGCTTTCCACATGGTAGCTTCCCAGTTTCGCTGGACCTCATCCCATTTCAGTTTCGGATACTGGATCTATTCGATATAACCGCGTCGTTCGACTCCAAGGCCACATGGTGCTTAAGAGGCAACAGAAACCGATCCGTGTTATCCTTTATTGATATGTTTGCATACGGATGGGTGGCCGATTTACTTGGTGCTCGAATACGCCATTAATCAGCCTAATTCAGTGATTCGGCCCTAATGCATCGAATTCATTGCAGGTGCTCAAATGACAAGATCTGTTTAAATGGTTCCCTTAAACAACTAGAAATGGGGAGGGAAGGGGGGTGCTCTAACGCCGAATAAATCCGGTTTCAGACATTGAAATCATAAATTGCCTTGTTTTTTAGTATTAAGTGCATTTCATTCCCCGAAGTTGGGACTGAATGCCTTAACGTTGTCAAGAAATTGCCAGTTCATTGTATGAAATTGCCAGTTTATGCCCATCATTCATCACTTCCTTTACAGAAACAGTCGCAGCCCTACACTTAATGATTTTTTGAACTCGTTAATTTTTCTACATTACCAATTTCTCATAAGCTGTCCGCTTTGCTATCCTGACGAAGTCGCTTCCCTCATACTGGCAACCATGTGGACAACGTACTCATTCTGTACTCTCTGTATATCATAATTAAGGTTGTCTATAGAGAAAATTGTGCTTATTTCGTTGAGAACGTTGCACTGATCGATTATTTTTAAGGCTTAGTAAAACCTATATCTAAATCTAAATATTTTCTGGTTGATGATTCGTACTGTAAAATAGTTAATTGATTTTCAGGAAGTCAGATGTTCAGCAGCGAAACTACTGCATCGCTGACTACGCTCACGAACAGCAGTGATGCTGACTTTGCGAACATTTTGTCTCTGAGTAACCAGGAGGTAACTGTTATTGCGTTTTCTCTTCAGTATTGCGTATTATACACTTGGTTTTGTCTTGGCA